TTTTTGACAAAGGTTTTTGTTGATGTGTTGAGGAAAAGAGTTGAGAATCTTATTTTATAAGAGAAGAAGATGAAAAATGGATCTGAATCAATGAAGAGTCCAACTCTCCTATGGCCATATATATTTCAATGAAACAAAGAGGGTGTGAAGAGAGAGAGTCTGAACTCTCAATGAAACAAAGAGGGTGTGAAGAGAGAGAGAGAGAGAGAGAGAGTCAATGGTGCAACTGAACTAGGCAATAAAAGAGGAAAATTGGGTCTTCAAAACAATTCCAAATGACAACTAAAGTATTCTTTAGGTTTTGAGTTGAATATTGTTACTATAATTTGCCTTTTTTGTTTTAATCATAAAAACTTTACACGAATAGAGTCTTCTCCTTGACTAAAGACGGTTATGTTTATTTCAAATTATGAAATAATATTATTTAAAATAATTATTATTACTTCGAATATTATTTCTATTTACGGGTTAAGAAAAAAAAACTAAATTTCTCAAAAATATTTATAATATTTATTTAATTTAAATATTATAAAAAATAAATAAATGTGAGTAGTATTGGAGAGTTGTGTTGGGTGAACATATGGACACAAAGAGGTCTAGAAAGAGGTTGAATAGACTATTTTTCTTTTAGACAATTTTAAAAGTATTTTAGGTCTCAAATACGAAATCAAAGATTTTATGAAGCGCGAAAAAAAATATAAAAACAAAAGAGCTTGGAAGCATATTAATGAATTCAACCAAGTGAAATAATACATGATGTTTCTAAAATTCAATTTTTCTAAAATAAATCTTTTTCTATAATTTAATATCATTGACAAATTATATTCACTAAATACCTATAACTTATAATCTTGAAGAAAAAATTTAAAATCTATTTTATAATAAAATCTGTTTTTCTATATTCACTAAAATATTTTTTATATTCACTAAAATAAAATCTGTTTTATATTATACTAAAATAATAAATTCACTAAAATAATATTTTTCTATAATTTATTTTTCTAATAAAATCTGTTTTATAATAAAATCTGTTTTTCTATATTCACTAAAATATTTTTTATTTTACTAAAATAATAAAGTAATATATATTCACTAATATTTTTATAATAAAATCAACAACAACACAATACAATATCTCAAATTTAAAATCTCAAATTTACTAAAGTCTCAAAATTTCCAACAACAACAGCATTACTTCAAAGCTACTAAAATCACAAATTTTCTAACCTAAATCTCAATGCTAGCTTTCAACAATAACAACATAATACACAATAAATATAAAAAATTAAAATGCATAAATACCTCTTTCAAAGCTTCCAAATAAAACTTCTTATAAATCAATTAATATTCTTAGATCTGGAAAAAAAAAATCAGTTAATAATAAGAAAAATATAAAATAAACTATAAAGGAAAATAGTTACAAGCATTCACCTTAAATTTTGAAGAAAAAATTAACTGAAGTATGAAGTAAGGAGCTCGAGGGAGTTGTAGCAAGGAGGTGAACGAAGGGGAAGAAGAAAGAAAACTTCCGAAAATTATCTGATACGTTGTGTGCAAAAGAAATTCTGCAAATTTTTATATATAACAAGCCTTCCGACGTGGCCAGCATTTGGGAAATTTGCGACGTGATAAATGCTTCGCAACTTGCGACGTGGCATCTACTTCACAAGCTTGCGACGTGATATCCAGGTCGGTACAGCCCATATATTAAATTGTTAACGTTATGCCATTAATGCCAATTTTGCTTTTCAATTTTTGCGACGTGGAAAGCACTGCGACGTGGAAGCAAGGTCGGAACATTCCCCCTATATTAAATTATTATCGTTGCTCCACTAAATGCCAACTCAACCGTATTAATGTAAGTGGGTTGCGAAGTGTTATCCATGTGGGTATTTTGTGACAGGATAATCACGTGGCAACAGAAATCTATTTTTTGAATTTTAGGTTCCCATGTGAAATACACGTCACAATAGAATTTGTCAAAAATTCAAAATTCCCCCTCTCTTAAAAATCCAAATTTTCGTTCCAGATTTTAGAGGTAAAAATTTTATTAATAAAAAATGTTTGTGACGTGATAATCACTTGGCAACGCAATTTGTTTCCCAAGTGTTTACCACATCACTAATTCACTAGGGAAAAACAATGTTTTCTTGTAGTGATCGGCCTGATTATTTAATGGGCTAACAAAAATAAGCTCGACACATTTTCTAATGGGTCATGTGGCTCGATGGGTCAGCCCGACCCAAATTTCAATTCTATAGTTTTAGTTTTATAAAAAGAGATGTAATGGACAAAAGATATATAACATAAGTAGAGCATAACCATAAACATAGTTAGACCATCTCCAACGGTGGTTCTTCAAATTGGTTTGCCAACTTGGCATTGAAATTGTCAACAAAAAGTTGTTCCAGCTGGTGAACGTTCCTTGCATAAGCAATGGTTCTTTATTTTTTTTATTATTAAAATAATTATTTAACTTGTTGGTTTTATTTTTTTTTTAAACTTTTTTTATTATTATAAATATAAGTTTGTTGCAAAAATTCATAACGATCCTATTTTCTCTCACTTTTATTTACTCTTTAATTTTAAATTTCTCTTTCACAATTTCATCATTTTATTCATAAATTATTATTTTCAATTTTATGTTTAATTTTAATTTTATGTTTAATTTATATTTATAGTAATTAAAATTTAAATATTTAAATTATAATTTTAAATAAAATAAATTTAATATAAATAATATATTTAAGTAAAATAGTGGGACCCAATATGGGTTCTTTGAAGTTGCACCATTGGAGTGAAAATTAAATGAGTTGTTTTAAAAGAGTGGGTCTCACAAAAAACCTAAAAATGGGTTGCACCATTGGAGGTGCTCTTAGGTTGTTTAAAATATTCATTAAGAGCATCTTTAATGCAGATTTTTAATAGTTAAATTTTTTATGGTTAACTATGATTATAAAGAATTTGCATTGGAATGACTATGACATGACATTTAATTCACTAACATTTAGTTTCCGACAATTGTATAGCTAACATATGCTATATAATTTGGGCCCACAAAAAATTTGCAATGAATATTTTATGTATTTTATTTAAAATAATTAAATTAATTGTAACTTTAATTAATAAATAATTACAATAAAAAAAATATAAAATATAGGATCAAATTTTAATTTTTTATACGCAATTATCATTAAAGTAAAAACAAATCAAATCAACTATAAATTTTTTAAATCCTACTAATCACGCTCTAAGTCAACGTTTATAGTGGACAGATCCACTTAAGTGGCATTGGGAACTCAATCCCATAGAACAACCAATTTCTTTTTTAATAATTAGTATTAATTATTTTTTTCAGCCCCATATAATAACTATCTCATTAACTTATATTTATCCACTCACTACAACTTTAATCCGTTAATTTCTTTTTTAATTAATACAATTTATTTATTTTTATAATTATTTTGACTTTTCAAATTCAATTACAATCTCCACTCACTCTCACAACTTTTCCTGAAAAACCTCTTTTCTCTTTTAATATAATTCTTTTTTGTTTCTTCTTCTACCATTATTTCCTTGCAAGAGTTTAAGTTCAACATCAATTTAATTTAGCAACTTTATCTACTACCACTATGATTTTAGTCATTTCCAAGTAACATTTAGAGGTATGTCTTTTCTTAATCAATTTTATTTTTATCTTTAATTTCTCTTTAATATTGTAAAATTATATAAAAAAATTATTTGGTGTTTCTTAAAAGAACCTTGTCATCCATGAATATTTAAATTAAGATTAATGTTCTTATTCATGTTTTTTTATATAAATTTCTATACTATTTTAGTTTGCTAGAAATGGAGAAATATTTTAAAAGGAGATTTACATCAGAGTCTCAAGAAGTTGAAAGTAGAAAGTTATCAACACCTTTAAGGTCAATTATGGATGGGGAAAACAGATTTTTAGAAGTTGCTTTAAAAAATCTTCCAGCTGATCCAGGAGAGAGGAAACAAATTTCATGTTATCATTCAAATGACCGAGATAACATTCGTAGATCTTACTTGCAAAGAAGGACCTTGTCAATCAAGAGAGCATGATTTTCCAAAAAGAGAAATTGGACCTCTTTTTCGTAAGTTTAACCCTGATTGGTGTTGCTTTACAAAAAAAAACTCTAATTGGTGTATAGAATTTGGTAATTGGTTAGAATATATTGTGTCAAAAGATGTTGTATTTTGTTTATGTTGTTATCTCATGAGATCAGATATTGAATAACAAAAAAGGGGTGATGCTTTTTCAATTGACGGTTTTTTACATTGGAAGAAAAAGGAAAGATTGGATATACATTTTGGAAACTTTAACAATGCTCACAATCAAGCTTGGAAAATTTTTGAGGCCTTAATGAATCAAATACAACATATTGAAGTTGCTATCAGTAAACAGTCAGACTTGATGAAATGAGAATATAGGATTCGTTTGACTTCAACAATGGATTGTATTTGATACCTATTGAAGCAAGGATTGGCCTTTCACATACATGATGAGTCGGTTAATTAAACAAATCAAGGTAATTTTCTTGAGCTTATATATTTAGTTTCCAAACATGATAAAGTGTTTGATATGATTATAAATTTTTTTTGCGTAAATCTAAAATTAGTGTCATCTTCTATTCAAAAGGATATTGTGACAACTCCAGCTTATGAGACCACAAAAATTATTGTTGATGATGTTAGAGATGATTTCTTTGCCATTGTAATTGATGAATCTTGAGATACATCAACTAAGGAACAAATGTATGTTTTTTTTGTTTTAGGTAAACAAAAAAGGAAGTGTCATTGAGCATTTCTTGGTCTTGTTCATGTTGCAAATACAAGTGTTGTGTCTTTAAAATTAGCATTGGAGTCATTGTTTGCAACACATAATTTAAGTTTGTTAAGAGTGAGTGAACAAGGTTATGATGAAACTAGTAATATGCAAGATGAATTTAATGGACTAAAAAATTTGTTAAACA